CTTGGAATTGGTAAGGTGAGGATATTATTGTATCCTAAGGTTTAACTGTACAATTATGACTTGTATCAAAATATTCAATGAAGATGCAAATACCTTCCCATAACATATGAACTTACTATGTATCCTATTTATGGGAATTCTGCTTTTCTCCTGCTAACAGCCAGAAACGTGTAATCCGGCAAATGCAGTTCCTGAAGCGGTCCCCATGCTGTGCTGCAGTCCAGGCCCCTCAGCACAGTCCAGGGGCTGTCCACCAGGCACCAGTGCCCCCAGCCACAAATGGACACAATACACGTAACCCCTGCTAATCCCAAACCAACCTGTCTGCCAGGCTGCCTTGGGGTTCTGATCGTAGGTTTTCCAGACCAGCTCCTGGGAGGAAGTGCATACGGAGCTCCACCTCCAGTTCCCAAAATGTGCGTCCTTAATAACTACAATGTGAATCTTTGTTTCTTAGAAGTGTGTTTATTCTTATCATTTCTATTCCATCACAGGTCAGCACTGCTCAATTTTAGACAAAAGACTCAGCTAGAAATCAGATGCCCACACTTGCTGCCTGAGGCTGGTTGTCACAAACATTCAGAGGACAACGGTGTAGTGTCTAACCTGCCCTACCAGATCTCACTGGCGAAGCACGCCTGCCAACAGGGGTAGGATTTGGGAGCAGTGGGTTAAGACACTCTGCAATGTCTACATTCCACTCAACAGTGCCTGGGCTCACTTCCCACCAAGCCAGTTCTTCCTTTCTTTCTAGTTTTCTTTTTTTGTTTTGTTTTTAGAAGATTGTATACTTAATGAGACCAACACTGTGGCATAAGGTACATTCCTCTGCTTGTGGCACAGTATCCCACATAGGTTCCAATTCGAGTCCTGGATGTTTTGTTTCCAAGCCAGCTTCCCGATGATCTGGGAAAGCAGCAGAAGATGGCCCAAGGCCTACACTTAAGCGGGGGGCTCAAAAGTTTCTGGCTCCTAGATCCTGGCTCCTGACTTCAGACCAGTCCAACTCCAGCTGTTGCAGCCATTTGGGAAGTGAACCAGTGGATGGAAAGTAAAGCAGCTGGAACTTGAAACAGCGCCCACCTGATACCATTCAGGAGGCAGCTCAATCCAGCAGCCTCTCAAGCCCGCTTGTGATTTCAGTTTTCTGCTGATACCGCTCTGGGAGGCAACAGGGGATGGCCCCAGCAATCGGGTCTCTGTCACCAACGTAGGAGACACGGAGTTCTGCCTGTGAGCCTCAGCCTGTGCCAGAGCCATCTCTGCAGGCATTTAGGGAAATAGGTGCCTGCATCTCTCCCCCTCTTCTTACTCTTTCTATGTCAAAGAAAAAAAATCAAAAACTTTTACTAGAGATGCCAACAGGTGAAGATGTTCACAATGTGTGGGAACAGACTGACACATGCACGGAGTGAGAACCGCTATTTCAGAACCACAGAACAAGCCGGTTCTCTGCAGAAGGCGTCAGCCACGCAAACACGCACCTGGTACCTCACTCGAGCATTTTACTGTAAAACGAATACTGCTATTACATAACAGGTTTCCACTTACTCACACTGGGACTCTTACAATGCAAAGAGTTTGTTCAGTCAGTAATTTCATAAACATAATTGTAACTGCACTAGGTTTGTATAGAAAACCCAATTCGCTGTGCCTGGTAGAGCTCCCTACAGTTGAGCTGTACTGTTATCACAGCCAGATGATTCAGCAGCCTTTAGTAACTTAGCACCTTGGAGAAAAAAGCCAGTGAGCATCCATGATTTAATCCTCAGCACGTCTCTTTAATCACTGTAACAACTCAAGAGTTGTGTAATTATCCAAAAACAATTAAACTACCAGCTTCATTGTTGCATAGGAAAAGTATGGGATAGGGGCTGGCATTGTGGGATAACACCTTAAGGAGCTACCTGTGATGCCAGCATCCCATCTGGGTACCAGTTCACACCTGGGCTGCTCTATTTCCAATCCAGCTGCCTACTAATGCACCTGAGGAAACAGCAAAGGATGGCTCAAATAGAAAGCGGTGGTTTATCTCAACTTTTGGAAGCCTGGTTGTAACTTTCTCTTTCAGGCAAGCACCTGCTGGGCTTAGCTCAGGGAGGCCTTGTGCCCACCTGGGATACCCAGAAGAAGTTCCTCATCCTGGTTTCTGCTTGGCCCAGCTCCAGACACTGCAGCCATCTGGGGAATGCACCAGCAGACAGAAGATATTTCTCTGTCTCTTCCTCTCATCACTGTAATTCTACTTTTAAGTAAATAAAACCAATCTTAAAAAAAAAAAAGATTTATTTATTTGCATTGGAAAGTCAGATTTACAGAGAGGAAGATCTTCCATCTGCTGGTTTATTGCCCAGGTGGCCACAGTGGCCGGACCTGAGCCAATCCAAAGGCATGAGCCAGGAGTTTCTTCTGGGTCTCCCATGTGGGTACATGGTCCCAAGATCTTGGGCCGTCCTCCACTGCTTTCCCAGGCCACAAGCAGGGAACTGAAAGGAAAGTGAAGCATCTGGGCTTGAACCCACACCTATATGGGATCCCGGGTGTGCAAGGCAAGAACTTTAGCCAACAGGCTACTGCATCAGGCCCTCAATCTATTTTTTTAAGCATTAACTATTACCCAGTAAATTACATTTTCAATTCATCTAATAAAACTGTGACAAAAAAAAACAGGGTAATCATTTCAAGCATCAAAAACCGTGTGTATATGTTTCCTTGAAAAGTCTAACAATATAAACAACATCTTAGCTATCCTAAATAATATTATAACTATTTTATATACAATTTAAACATGCTCATAAGTGATTCAGATTTCTAGATTCCCCTATTAATGAACAAAAAAGTAGGCACTGCAAAAAATATCTAGAGGTTTTGTTAAACAATCAAATGACAACACGTGTGCCCCGAGGATGCACCTTCAGAAACAAAGGAGAAAGCACCAGCTTGAACAGGTGGGTAATGAGAAACCACTCAGTAGCCAGACTCCACATGGCTCGGCCCTGCCTGCTCCCAGTAAGAGGCCTGGCCGCCCTCCCACAGCATCCTCTCCACCCACCAGCCTGGCCCTCGAGAGCCCAGTAAAGAGCTCCAGCCCCAAGGGTCCTAAGAGACATTCCAGACACTCCTTCGGAAGCAATTTCCCTGCCTTGGGTCACTCTTTGATTTTTTTGCCAGACACATCCAACGGAGGATGGAGGGCTTCCGGAGCCTTGGATCTCCCCTTTGCAATGGGCTGTGCAGCCAGAGGCTGTCCACTCATCGCCAAGGCCACCCTGAGCGGAGCCCAGGGACTGCTGCCTGGAGGGGAAGCAGAGAGGGGTTACCAGTAGGCTTCCAAAAGCCCAACTTAATCAGCCCTTTTTGATGCTAGAACAAGGAGAAATAAAGTACGAGTGAAAAGCCAAATACATGAGGTCTACACAAAATACAATGCTACTCCTTAAACATTTTTCCATATATAAATACATACGTGTAGATAGATCCAAGACCTAATTTGATGATGAATCAATCAGCATAAGATTATAGGCATGAGGAGTATGTAACTCTTTCAGGTCTTACAGAAGACATGTAGCTGAGAGCCTGAAGCCACAGTAACTGGATTCATATCATCCCTGCTGAAAAGCAGAGCTGATACAATAACATCTGATGCAGCATTTTATAGATAAAAAAAAATAAATCCTAAGTCAACCCAAGAAAAACAGCACTTCTCAAAATAATCAAACGTAAGACTATCATATAATCTGAATATTCCATTTCTAAGTATCCAACAAAGAGAAAAGAAAGCCTACACCCAGGCACTGACTGGCTCGTGGCAACATCAGCCACAAAGCCAAACCCTGGGAAATCTGAACGCCCCTCAGCAGGTGAATGCAGAAATAACACGTGCTCTTGCCACACAGTGAAAGAACATTCAGGAAGAAAAACCAATGGGCTACTGACACATGCTACATCAGAGATGAACTCACCATAGTGAAATTAGTAAAAGAGCAAGATATTCAGTTATAAATGTATTAATAACAGTGAGATATTAGAACTGTCATAAAACATCGTCATTTAATTATAACCTTACCTTCACCAGATGCTTCTGTCCACATCAGCATTGATAAGTAAATGAGAGTCTTCCAGAGCTAACTTCGAATCCCTACTGAATCCATACCCTATTAGCCATGGAGAGCCCTACTTTGCCTTTGATATCAAAAACTCCAGAGGACCAGAATCAAGAGATGCCAACTGGCAAGTGGCTGAGAGAAGACAGGACTGAACTTGCCGGTCTGAATGGACTCCAGGTCCATTTTCTCCCATCTCGGCGCACATGTTTACCACCTGTCATTCTACACAGGGAGCCAGGTCTGCTGACACCTGTCATGTCTGACTGCCTAGCTGTCTTTCCTTCCCCGCCCCAGTGAAAAACAAGAGAGAGACCACTACAACAGGATCACCTCCCTGAAAACCAGATGACAACACGTGGGTTTTCTCCATTCTTCATGTTGCCCATCATACAACAGCCAACCATGGTCCCTGTGGAGGGTCTGTCTCTGTGTGGGGGAGTGCAAGGGACAGAGGACTAACCTTGAAAGGAAAAATGCTTTCAGTATTTGCCTGCTTTGGGCAGTTCCATTATCCCCTTCCAGATGAACGGGACTTACAGGAAAGGACTGGGCCCACACAGCTGAGCTAATACAGGTAAATGTCGTTATGGAGCCTTTTTCTTCCAGAGGAATGTTTCACAATGAAGTATACTATCCACTGCCTCCTGGCAAGGACCGGTGGAGCCACAGGACTAGCTCAGCAGGCCAGGCAGGTGCTATGTCAAGTTTTATTCATATTATCCACCCAAAAGAATAAAACTTCCCAACTCTGACTCCTGGAAGGGAAAACTATTTCCCTTCCTCTTCACGATTGTGACAAAACAGGAACTGGCAGTGCTTTTCATTTTAACTTGGTTTTTCATTCATCTGCCTGTTGTAACTAAGAGACCTGAGCACAGCTCAGCACACACTTACTGGTTCAGCACGACGTCGAGAACGAAGGATGTTCCGAAGGCATCAACCTGGAAGCTGGCCTGGTCAACGTGAGCCAACTGCAGAGTCAGAGAGAAGACCGAGCGATAGTTAGCACTTCTTGCAGTTATCCGAAAGCCTGTGCAACACCACCACGGAAAAACACAGTTCAACACGGAGAACAAAAAAAAGCAAATGGATATCAAGTCACCCGTTCTTAGAAACCAGGCAGATGCCAAACTGAACTAAGTCACTGCCTGATCGAAGAGCCCAAGGGCCCTATTTCTCTGGTGTATTTCAAGTGGTTAAACATTTACTTTTTTTTTTAAACCTGTTTTTAAATTTTATTTTTTTTTTTTACTCCTCAAACAGTAACAACTATTTGCATATTATTTACACTGGTTTAGGTGTAATTTAGAGATGATTTCAAGAAATATGGGCAGTTGTGCAAAGGTTCTATGCAAACACTAGGGAGATGGGTTTATTTTTTAAAATGTATTTGAAAAGCTGAGTAACAGAAATAAATATTTCCACTGCTTCCCTCCCCAAACGCCTGTTACCACCTAGGACTTAGCCAAGCTGAATCTGGGGACTAGAAATGCCACCTGCATCTCCTGTGTGGGTGGCAGGAACCCAAGCACTTGGGCCATCATCTTAAACACTTACTTTTGAAGAGGACTACACGTCATCAATCTTACTCCATATTAATGGTCTAGCTCCTTGACTGAAACTTTGTATGCCCCCAAAAGGAAAATACCCTTAGTTTAAGAGTAACATAACATGGTGAGTCTGAGGTATTTGCAAAGCAGACACCTGCACTTTTCCAAAAGCCTTTTCATCATGTTTAAAATTGTATCTTAAAAAAACAAAATGTCCAATTGACCAAACCTAATTTCACGGAGGTTTTTTCACATGTACCTGAAAACAGAATCGAACCTGTACATCTGCTACAAATACCACCCATTCAAATTTTCTTGGTTTAAAAAAGAAATCACTATTTTCTACATCATTCTCCTAGAAGGAGACACAAGAGACTAGAAAGCGAAGAAGGCAGTGGGACCAGTCACACCAGTGCAGCCTGTCGGATGGCCTCACGCAGCAACCGGAAAGAGGAAGCTAACTATTCCTTCCATCTAGCCCCTCCAATTGTAGTTGAACTGTAAGATCATAACGTAGCAGATTTTATGATTGTTTTGTAGAGTATATGACTTCCTAAAATAAATGCACACAGTTTAGATAATGGGTAAAGGCAGTAAATACTTGGGAAGGAAAACCATTTGAGCTCCCACGTGCACGTGGAGGTTGATGGTCCCGCAGCACCCGAGGACCAGAGCATCCTTGGCAGGCTGTGGGTGAGCATGAGCCAGCCCTCAGCAGAACGCTCAGACTGACCCCTCAACTTGTACTCCTCACCCTGCCCTCTCACCAGCCTGTCACTAAAGATGTCTTCCTTTTCCTTTCTGTAATTTTGGGAGCCACTTCACCCTTCATTTTCACCTTTAGCACAGATCACACGGGCCTCTATGGTGCTGAACTCTGCTTCTTAGCAAGATCCTTACATGCTTCAGATCTCCTACAGCCTCCAATATAATCCTCCTCTCCCTGGAATCTGAGCTCCTCAACCGTCCCTTAGCATAATTCCTTCTTGGGCCCAGGGCGATAGCGTAATGGTTAAAGCCCTCGCCTTGAACACGCTGGGATCCCACACAGGCGCCGGTTCTAATCCTGGCAGCCCTGCTTCCTATCCAGCTCCCTGCTTATGGCCTGGGAAAGCAGTCGAGGACGGCCCAAAACTTTGGGACCCTGCACCCACGTGGGAGACCTGGAAGAGCTCCTGGCTCCTGATTGACGTGGCTCCATCTGTTGCGGTTACTTGGGGAGTGAATCATTGAACGGAATATCCTCCTCTCTGTCTCTCCTCTGCTCTGTATATCGACCTTTCCAATAAAAACAAATAAATCTTAAAAGAAAAAAAAAAGATGAGAAAGAGAAAACATATTTCTTTAAAAAAAATCCCCACATGCCCACACACATTCCATGGCTCAGCTCTCCTATCTATTCTTTAATTCAAATGTTTCATTTAACCAATTTTTCCCATGGCTTCTACTCATTCCTTTCACTAAGGGCTTCTCTGACCCAGACTCCATATCAAGGCTTTTCCCAGAGTATGGCCCTGCCCTTCCATAGACCCACCTCAGCTTCCCCTTTGTCACGGTCAGATGGGTGGCCGGAACAGCACGCCACACCCATGCAGAGCATGAGCTGTGCAAACGTGCTTTGCAGCATGCTAGAGGCTGCAAGTCAGACGTACTGGGGATCAGAGCGCCTCTTCCACAAAGTTTTCCCAATTCTTCCCGCTGCATGGCCCCCTCCAGTGAACATCAATACAGCAGGGCCTCTGGGCCGATCACCAACAGGTACTGGTCACGTGTTTTCCGCCCGGCTGACCCAGTTGCAGGGTCACTTTTTGAATGGCCCGCATGCATAAAGGAAGAACAACCAAGGAGCTCCAAATGACTCAGACAAACACAGCTGTCCATCCTGGTAGCTTTCACTGCCACGTGCACAAGTAATGTGTCTACACTGTTGGGCACGGTCAGCTACCCCGGCTCCTGCAGCCCTCCTAGGCTCTCATCTCAGCCTCTGTGGATTACAAATGTTAATGCTGCAAGTCTGTGATGAAAACAGAAGATGCTACCATGACAGACTGAGCCAAGTGAACATGACCAATCTTTCTGGCACAGCATTTACTGACTGCGTTCATTCGAATTCTTAGACTTCACTTTACACCTAGTATTCTATTTTGTTGCTCTCGGTGACATCCCCAAAAAAGCTGCTGATAGCACACTGAAATGCTGTCTAATTTAAAAAAAAAAAGGTTTGCATTATTCATCTTAACAGGAATAGGAGTGCGCTGAGACATGGGGTCCCTGACACTGCCTACACATCGATTCATCTTGAGTCCACTGGGTGCTGAGAATACCCTAAATGTGGGGGGAAAGCGGTGAAGACTGTTCCAGTGGAGCTTATCTTTTAGCAAAAGGAGACAAACAAAAATGAAGTGCATCAAAGAGTATAATACACTCTTCTCAGATTTTGCAAAAGTAAAATAAATCTGTCAAGAGTGACCAAGGAGAATAAGGTTTAAAGCAATCCAGGAAGGCCTCTCTGAGGAGGTGGCGTCTTGAGGCAATCTGATGATCAGAGAGAATCTGTGCTGCGCAGAATAATGGCCCCGCAAGCAGTCTAGTTCCCAGCCCCTGTGACCTTGGGATCTTGGTGACCAAGCCAAGAGGGGCTTGGCAGATGCAACTGAGGACCTTCAAATGAGGAAATCAATCTAGATGACTTGGGTGGGCCCACTCAGCCACAAAGGTCCTCACAGGAAGAAGGGGACACAGTCAGAGCTGCCAACAAAGCACAGCGAGGCAGGGCTGGGAGAACAGGAGGCGGGGCTTGAGAGAGGAATGCAGGGGCAGTCTTCAGCACTTAGAAAAGGGAGGTGATGTCTCCCCGGGCCTTTGCAGGCTCAGAGAGGCTGCTAGTTTCACGTTAGTCTCCCAAGATGCGTTTCAGGCTCTGGGCTCCAAAAATTCGAAACAATATATGTTGCTTCAAGACACAAAGTTTCTGGCAAGATGAGGGTACTTCAAAAAGTTCTTGAAAAATAAAGTTAAAGAGTAAATTCATTTTGACACAGAAAAACACTGAAATCCATGCATTACTTTTCCATAGTATATATTCTCCATGATCCATGCTCTCAGCAATTCAGTTAATCATGGACTTGCCTTTTGAGTTCAAAGAGAAAAGACCTGTTTGAGATGAGAGAACTAAATCATATCTGGATCTTCCTTTGGGAGTGAGCCGGCTGGTGCACAGCACCAAGGGGTGGGGGAATCGAAAACTCATTAGCTTTAAGACTAGAGAGCAGTTATTGGCTCTCAGAGAGATTTGAAAAAATATAACTTTGTATAATGCACTTTCCTATTACTATAGATGAATTATTTATGAAAATACTAAACATTCCAGCATCACAGGATCATAGGGAGAGAACCCCTATAGCTCCTAAACCACACATCCTGGCTTCACACAGAGGGAGACCGAGACAGTGTTGGCAACCAGGCTTCGCACAGGCTCTGCACGGTGGCACTGCTGGCATCTCCTCCCCAACGCTCCTTTGCTCAGGATTCTGCTCTTTCGCTTTGGTTCTGCAGCTCAAAGGTGCCAGCAGGATTTCCCAAGTTTTAGTGAGTATTATCACTCCAGGAGCATTTCCAGGAGCCAGGGATCATTGTCAGGGGCACAGTTCGTGGATTTGAAAAGAAAATCAGAACAAGGAACCAACTGAAAGAGTCCCGTTCTCCTTGGAAAGGTGCGTGTCACCGCATCGGACACACGTTCACATTCTACAACTTTACAAATCCAGAGGAACACTCTGAAATGCACATGGAGGTGCAAGGATTAACTACCGCTTCTGATGCCATGAGGAAATTTCTGATGCCACGGCACCAGTCATACCTCTGCTTCTAACCTAGCTCCTTGCGAATCCTACCCTTAAGCACAGCGGAGAGGGCTCACACACTCGGGTCCAAGCACACGGACACCAGGACACCTGGCTTCTGGCGTGGATGGGCCCATCCATGGCCACTGCAGGCATTGGGAGGGTAAGTAGCAGATGGAAGCCACCTCCCCTCCTCCACCACACAATGCATCCTTCACTGCCTTTCTCCACCTCACCCCATGTCTGACTTTCAAAACATGTAAACAGATTAGTTTAAAAATCATGCAAATAAACTATGTAAGTATAATAAAGTGACTGTGGTTGTTCTTTAACACATAAGCATTTGAGGCTGATATTTATAGAAGCTGTGAAACAATAGATTTGAGGAGAAAGACCAAAGTATAAAATAACTATCCAGATGGCAAGAACGCTTCTTTTTTTCTTTAATATTTACTTATTTTTATTGGAAAGGCAGATTTACAGAAAGAGGGAGAGACAGAGATAAAGAGCTTCTGTTTACTGATTTCTTCCCCAAGTGACCAAAATGGCTGGAGCTGAGCCAATCCAAAGCAAGGAGCC